CAGCTGTTCAGAACTGGTCGACACCGAAGAGTCCGTCTGAGGTTCGCAGTTTTCTCAGTTTAGTTGGTTACTACCGCAGGTTCATCGAGGGCTTTTCTAAGATTGCCCTCCCATTATCCCAGCTGACGAGGAAGTCTGTGAAGTTCGAGTGGACTGATCATTGTGAGGCGAGCTTTCAGGAGCTCAAGAGGAGATTAACTTCAGCCCCGATGTTGACTATTCTCGATCCTTCTCGTAGTTTCACCATCTACAGTGATGCTTCGAAGCAGGCACTGGGATGTGTACTCATGCAGGACGGCCAGGTCGTTGCCTATGCTTCACGCCAGCTTAAGCCGCATGAATAGAACTATCCGATGCACGACTTGGAGTTAGCCGCCGTTGTTCATGCTCTCAAGATCTGGCGACACTATCTCTAAGGCGGTCGTTGCGAGATTTTTACAGATCATAAGAGCCTGCAGTACATTTTCACGCAGAAGGAGCTTAACATGAGACAGCGCCGTTGGCTCGAGCTCGTCAAGGATTACGATTGCTCGATTCAGTACCATCCGGGAAAGGCGAACGTTGTTGCTGACGCCCTAAGCCAAAAGGTGAGGGGTGACTTGACGTACGTCGTTACTCAACAGAGACCGCTAATTCAAGAGTTTGCCCGGATGCAGCTTCAGGCGGTCGATGCACTTCCCACAGCCGTTTCGGGGAGTGTCAGTGCCAGTGTTAATGCCATGCAGCTTCAACCGACGCTGAGAGAGAGAATCCGGAGGGAACAGGCTTCTGACGAGTTCGTTTGAGTCATGGAGGCCAAAGTCCACGCCGGAGGCGTCGAGGGTTTTCAGCTAGGTGCCGATGGTGCCTTAGAGTTCAGAGGCAGGATCGTGGTCTCGAAAGTCGAGGCGTTGCGGAAGGAGATATTATCAGAGGCTCATACCGCACCCTACTTAGCCCATCACGGGAGCACGAAGATGTATCATGACCTGAAAGGGGCGTTCTGGTGACGCGGAATGAAGAAGGACGTCGCTGAGTTCGTCAGGAGATGTTTTACCTGTCAGCAAGTCAAAGCCGAACATCAGAGTCCGATCGGCCTCCTGCAACCACTGCCGATTCCGAGGTGGAAGTGGGAGGAAGTCATGATGGATTTCGTTACGGGATTACCGAGGTCGTCTGAACATCACGACGCTATTTGGGTCGTGGTCGACAGATTGACTAAGGTCGCGCATTTCTTACCCGTTTCGATGAAGATGTCTTTAGATAAGTTGGCTGAGATATATACCCGTGGGATCATTTGACTCCACGGAGTGCCCGTTACTATCGTATCAGACAGAGATCCCAGATTCGTCAGCAGATTCTGGCATAGTTTACATGAGGCGATGGGCACGAAGCTTGAGTTCAGGTCAGCCTACCATCCGGAGACAGATGGTCAGTCCGAGAGGACCATTCAGACGCTTGAGGATATGTTACGTGCTTTGGATGTTGACAGGGGTGCTAAGTGGGAGTCGTTGTTGCCGTATGCTGAGTTCGCGTACAACAACAGCTATCATTCTTCTATTCAGATGGCTCCTTACGAGGCACTTTACGGTCGTAAGTGTCGTTCCCCTCTTTATTGGGACGACGTCGGAGAGCGACGAGTACTCGGTCCGAAGATGATCGAGGAGACGGCAGAGCAGGTCGAGTTGATCCGGCAGAGACTCAAGACAGCTCAGAGTCGACAGAAATCTTCAGCCGATCATCATCGACGAGACATTCAGTTCGAAGTTGGCTAGCCAGCTTTTCT